TTATGAAAATATCAAAGATTAATATATTAACTCTATTGTAATGTTATTTTTTATTTAATTTAATACAGTAAGACTCAGTGCCCCGAGTGTTTAAGTACCCTAGGCTAGGTAGAGTTTGAGCCACTCTAGGCCGCGATACGAGTGATGTGTCATCACGTAGCCTACCAGAACAAATGCAGAGAGAGGAGACATCGCGTCTAGGGTTAGCTAGGCTGTATGCACGGTGCATGTACAGTATATGATCACACATTCAACAAGAAAGTCCAACATGCATAAATCTGGAAAAATTTACATTTTATTAAAGGAAGTACATATATTCAAGTGTAATGCTCAGGAAACCGGTATATTTACATGAAATAAATAATGCATGCGCAGTCATACTTCAATATTTGCACTATCGGTCACTTAAATTTATCGATTCTGGTTAAATGTACAATAATGTGAGTTCAACAATAGAGTATAGAATTAACTTTCAGCATTCAAAATTCGTGTCGGCACAAGCCGCGGTGCCGAAGCTTACCACGGCATTGATTTAATTATAATTTTTGTTTATTAAACGTAATTTTATTTCCTACAATAGTATGTAGTTTAATCAAAAAATAAATTATTAAATTTCTGTGTTAACTTTTCAAATAAAAGTGATAATTATTAGCTGGAAACATTTGTGTTCTTTATATTTTACCACATCATTTGTTAGATGAAAACACTTGGCAACGTACTAGGCCTACGCCAAAACATGAAAGTTTCCCTGTTAAAACTAGCACACAATTACCACGAAATCAAAAGGATATTCTTCTAGGCCTCCCGAAAATCGCGGGTTTCTCCCGATTATTTAGGCCTTCTCCCGCCCTCCCGAATTTTATTAATTTTCTCCAGAATTTTTAAAATATCCTGAAAATTCCACAAAAAATGTAATTTCCACGATGTCAGAGACCAATGAAACAAAATTTAATATCTTAAGCCAATATATTATGGCACTCGCTCAGCCATATACTGGTAAATGCCATAAGCTAGACCAGGGAGTTGTTATTTAACCCTTTCTAGTCTGCCTCATTACCATTGCCTGAGGCAGTACCAAAGCTGGGAAATTACATCATCTACACTAAATGTTGGGTTTTTACTGGGCACAGGCATTTTATTTGGTCTAAATACAGGAGGCCCTCTACAGAAATACTCCTGTATCACTCAAAAAATTCAATAGAGGGCAGCCTAGCTATAAAATAATTATCATAAGAGCTAGACAGGATGTACGTACGACGCCACTCGCTATAAAGTATGGTCGAAGAGGGCGTCGTCGCGACGCCATACGATAGGAAAGGGTTAAGTTGTTTATCTAAATAACAGCTCCATATGGCAAGGCTAGGCCTACTGTAGATCTGTGCCACTGTGGTAAACTCGCCTTGTTTATCCCCATGTTACGATCTTTTGCATCCAGCGCCGACCTCAATCAATGAGATGGCTGTCAGTTGAGTAAATAAATTTCAAAAAATGAACAAAATCAGAAATCATATGGAAGGATGGATGGGGCCCCAATTTTTTGCCACAAGGATTTTGAACTTGGAGAATCGGTGCATAAAAAATACTTTTTCTTTGAAGTAAGCTTAAGTTGTTTAATGACAATACTAAAAAATCATAGTTTTTAGGTTTTGAAGTTTATTTTAACATCGATCCTGAAATACATGTAGGCCTAGGCTAGGCACTATCTGCACTGCAGGGGTGTGTGTGTTGGGTTGGTGCCTGTGTGTGTGGTGGTCATGACTCTGCGGCCTTGGGCCTAGTTACGCACCTATAGATGGAGCCTAGCGAGGCAGGATTTAACATTTTTTTCAGGGCATTATGTACCAGTTATTATAGACTAGACATTATAAATGCTGAATTAAAACATGTAGTATGATTTACTAAATTAAATATATATGTTTTTAATTTCTCAGCAAGTTGCAGTTACTTTGCTAGAATTGTACATTCTTTGAAGAGATGTAGTAAATCAGCCGTAGCTTCTCATATGCCAAGCATGAACCAAGCCTTGTTGACTGCTGCCAAGAGCGCTCCGCTAGCACAATGCTAAATAAATAATATTAATATTTATAAATTTATATTTTAGGCCAACTGCAATGTGTAAACATATGCAAAATTGTTAAATAAAAGTATACAAATGGATAAGAATTATAAGAATTTATTTAACCAATTTGGGGATTCCCCATGTGCATTGATTTGCCATCGATTCGATCATGTGTTATTGAATACAGTACAAACATTTGTTTGGTCAAGCTAATATAACTTAACATTACTATGAACACTTACAAGCACATTCGTAAATTTACTCAAAACTTTCCAACAAAAGGGCCTCGGCAAATAAGTACCGTGGTGAGCTTGGGCACCGCGGCTTGGGCCAATGCAAATTTTGAGTGCTGAAAGTTAAACTGACACATACATTTTTTAACCAGAATCGATAGATTTACACGACTGATAATACAAGTTTATTAAAGTATGACTGCGCATGCGTTATTTATTTCACGTAAATATATCGTTTACTGATTTATATATAAAATCACTTTATTTCGAAACAAAACAAAGGAAAACATACAAAGCCTAGATCGTGACCTTATAAAGGAACACGCAAGGTAAACAGACAAAAAACAGTTACAAAAGCAGGTGACAAGTAAACAGGAGACTTATAAAATACAAAAGTACTCTGATCAAAAATTTGATGAAGTTCATTGCCTTTCGATTAAAAATTTCATTCAAATTTTAATAGTAAAAAAGAAAAACAAATACAATTGAATTGCACGGGACTAATTAATTTGGAAATATGGAGGATTTACCCAAGAAGGTTGTTCTTTTGCGTAATAGATGCTGAAGGAAGAAACAAGAGCAATTTTTGAGACATTATCCCTTAAAGTCTTAAATGAGATTGGTTTATTGCAAATTGTTTAAGTCTATTTAAATTATCTGGGGAGACATACCCTCTGGATCCCACCTCCAGAGCAATCAGTTCAACCTCGTAGCCAGAGGACGAGATGTCAGCCATGAGGGGAGAATATTCATTGACTTTACGGGAGTGAGCTTGATTAATACCCGTTTCAAATGAAACTGTACTGTAAGTTCGATGATTATGAGTTTTTTGATATCTTTCCAAAAAATACAGATATCCGGGATCAAGTTTGTCACGGTACATCCGGATGGAATAGTATTCGGGTGGGGAACATCTCGGTCTCTGGCCACAAGGTCGGAGAGGATCATTGGAGGGAAGGATATGCTATCGAATCACTTTCGAATGACCTGAGAGGTGGTTCAGAATGTTGTGTCTCCATGTGAAGTGACCCTGGTCCAGGGAATTTTTGCAATAATTTAAGGCATGATGTAGTGTCTCTCAATTCCCACATAATTTACATTTTTCAGAAATATATTCACCCCATCGGTGAAGGTTGACACGTGTGTTTAGGGTGTCGCCATGAGCGTTTACCAAGAATTTTAATATCCCGGATGGAAGATTGTAAATTAGGGATTTCCATTTGGTTGGATGATTCTTGGATGGACAGAAGCTTGTAGAACCTTCCCTGGACCAGGAGTCCCCCCACATGGGTGTTCCACACATTTTGAACCTCATCTCTCAAGTCCTGTTTAACCAACTTTTTCATTTCTTTGAAATTCTGCTCAGAAGAAATGATACTAGTTAATATTTTCAGAATGACATGTAATTGACTTTCTACAGGTCCATCTTGCTTCCCTTGCAATCCTTGTATCAAGGCAATTGTTTATGTTGGGATCTCCTCTGACCCGAGTAGACAAGTGCGCAATAACATGGCATTCTTTATACATTGATGAAATGGAGGGTATATTAAGTCCATTTGGCATCTTGACAAAAACAAGAGTGGCACATGGAGGGAGGCCAAACCATTTTTTTACAAACCTATTAACCATAGAGTCAAGTTGTCCTAAATAAGAGTAACCTACGTCGTTTACAGTCAAGTGAAACTTAAGGCTAGGTAGTAAGTATTGTGCAAACATCCTGATCTTGTATTCATTCCGAAGAAGGGAACTATCAATTTTGCACATTCGTTCCTTAATTAAATCATGAAGGTAGGTGAAAACATCTGATTCGGAGTGATTGAATGTTACAATTGATCCTAAGAATTTATGTGGATCACCTTCTATGGACAGGATTTGTTCGTCCCCTAAATTGAAATTAATATTGTTTGTTTTTCAGCTTCCTGGCATTTATCAGTAATTTAGATTCCCGGCGCGTAAACTTATTTTGGTTGTTATAAATTTCTTCGATAAATTTACAGTCACATAAATATATTCACTTCCTTTATTAAATTTAGCACATCTCTAAATATTCAACCAATTTATATATTATTGTCATCTAAAAACAGTAGATTACTAACATCAACAGTAGATTACTCACATCAATGTGTTCTTTCCATTGAATTAATGTGAAACTATACTTGAAGTCAATTGAATGAAGGATATAATTCTTGAGTGCAACTAACTAGTACTACTCTAGTCCTAGGTAGGCAGGCCTACCTGGTCCTACTGTAGGCCTAGGAACTGAGGCTAGGCCTAGCTAGGTAGTCTATATATGAACCTATTATTATAGTACAGTAGGCCAGCAGGAGGAGTGGCATAGGCCTAGCCTAGGCTTGACTAGCCTAGTTCAGCTAGCCCAGGGCCTAAGCCTAGCCGCATATCTAGGCCCTCCTCCTAGGCCCCTATTTAGCCTAGCCTAGTACTGTAGCAAGGGCCTAGGCACTCTCAAAGCTAGGCCTATTTTAATTCATTAATTAGGCCTAGGCCTAGCTAGGCCTAGCTAGGCCCTACCCTAGCTAGGCCTAGGCCCTAGGTAGGGGATATATGAAATCATCAGAATCGAATTACAGTTGCAAGATCATACTTCTCTTAAATACTTATTTTATATATCAGTAATATTAACTGGAATATCTCAAAATGTAATCAATAGATGTAATAATAATAAACGTAAATAACATTACAAAATTTACCTTTCGTTTCGGTAAGTCGGTGTTATTACCAACCTATCAAATTACCGATGACATGGATGAGACTTCTTCAGGACTTTAGTCAAGCTTTAGTTGAGCAGCAGTAGTCATCTTCCAACGTGGAATCCTGTGTCTGACGTCACGTTCGGCAAACCCACTACGACATTAGGGTTTCTCTTGTAACTTCCAGGTCGAAATACCAAGTCGGACTGTATACTATTCGTATTTTAGGAAGAATTTAAAGCATACAAAAAATAAATTAATCTAAGTGCACCTGAAGCTAGTAAATCATTTTTATATCAAACTGTTGTTGATAAAAACATATAGAATGTATCAACTTTAAAAACTACTGTATAAATATATAATTTTTAAAGTGTTTATATTCATATTTTAATAAATGTAATGTTCACGGACTAGCCTAACTAGGCCTATCCTCATAATATCCTACTACACACAAATCGCCCATGCGCGCATCTTTCCTTTCTTTCACCGATTGCTGAAGTGTGAGACGTCTCTGGCTCACCGCTGTTCAAAAAATTGTTCAAGTCGGCCAGCAAATATAACCATGGTTAGTCATACTGTAGGGCATTTTTGACAATTTGTTTTACTATCATGAATTTTTAATTATTCCCTTTGCTAATGCGAATATGAGACTTGTTGTAACCACCCCGCAAACAAGCATGATCCATCTCTCCATCCATTTATGATTTAGTCTATAGATTCCTACACACCTCCATCATGAGGGTTAAGCCGCCGGTCATTTCTATGGAACGCCAAGCGCGTCTCTCAGTAATAATAATAATAATAATAATAATGACTTTATTTGAAAACGGAAAACTTGATCACAAATTAAATGTGTGTTTCACAAGGCCGTTTCTGAAGTACAGTCAATGTAGTGCGTTAATTGCGGCGTATTTCAATTAACTTATTCAATCTTGCAGGGAGTTGTTATATTTGTACTGTTGTTTGGGATGTATTTCAGTTTATTTGCTCAATTAGGCCACGTAAAATAAAACAATTGGTTAGCATCCCCGCCCGACCGTCAGAAAAGCCCCCGACCTGAATTTTTTTTTATTTTTTATTTTTACAAAACACTCAAAAACTCCATCTCCGGAAGGCAATTTATATAGACCTAGGCTTGTTTGCCATCCGTCCGAACGCCAGCCGACTGGGCTTACCCCTGCAGTTCCATTCCATCATCGTCCCGTCTAGGCCTAGTCCTTGCTTCTATCTAGAAAAGGCCTAGTTTTATAGTAGTAGTATAAAAAGAGTGTATTTG